CTGTCTAAATTTAGTTTGCACGAAAGTTGTAAACAACACCATATAAGGATAGACATTCCATATTTGGAAAAACGAATGTTACGGGGCAGATATTCAAATTCATTAGTCATCGATGCAGGCTCTCAATTCAGCTTGAGAGCCTGTTCGCAGGCTACTATTATACTAAATCCGACAGCTTGATCATTACTATATGTGCGGCGCTAGTAAGTTAGTAACTGATGGGCTTTGATCTTACCATATTTTAACAATAACTGTGGTAATTTCGAAATTTTGTGTTAGTTTGTTCATTTTCATCGCAAGTTGGTTATCAAACGAGGCCTTTTCATGCAAGCGCGAGTAAAAACTTGCGTTCTCGTTTGATCGGGACTTTAAGCCTATCTTTTCCTAAATCGGCTTAGTATTTCCTAATTTGTCAGCTTTATAGTGTGGGCCGTGTCATTTTCGTGTTTTTCAAGTGCGCAATAATAACAATTTTTTGACTATCTAAAAAGTTATACGAACTACAAAGTAAATGCATATGACCTTTACAATTGCAGATCATCATTAACTATCCAAACAGCCCAACCAGAAGAGTTACATTGAATGGACCTAAAGCAGCCCTTGCAAGACAGCTTGCCTTTTTCCCGCTCAGGAATCTAGCTGCTGCTACACTCAAAACTGCAGAATGCAATGAATATATTTCTGACAAACTGCCAAGCAAATAATGAAAGAATTGACAGGGCTGTGCACGTTATCCCACCCATCCACCAACTCAACACCCTTAAATGGGATGCAGTCAACCATGAACTGAAAGATAGATGCCCATTGTTTTACAAATTCTTGACTGCGTCAGTAAGCAATCCATCTCATGCACGAAACATACACAAGAAGGGTGAAGCTATCCTTCCTCAAATGTTAGATGCAGGATGCCAACTAATTTCAATATTCAATTCTGACCTTGATGCTATTAAGCGTGTAAAGTCAGTTGTTCTGAAGAAAGGCAGTCTAAAGAAGGTTGGATTTAAAAGATTGTCATCGCTCAACATATGCCTAAGCTATAATGCGACAGCTACCTTGATGGAGAAACTTGTACAGGGCTTTGACAAAAGATCTACTGCAGTGGAAAGAAGAGGTTGAAAGAGGGGTAAAGATGGAGAAAGATGTTTTGGAGTCTTTGCAACAGGCAGAAGCTGCAAATAATAATGATCTTATTGAGGAATGTAGATCCACACTTGATGCACATCGGGAAATCATGCATCCTGGATACTCCTTCACTGGAGATAACGTTGACATTAACTGTTCTACACGGCAAATGATACTAACGAACAGAACAAGGACCATCATTTGTTTCAGTTGGTGGCCTTTAAGAACAGGATTCCTTCCAATCACCTTCCTACAAATGTTGCCAATGCAGACATTAAGAAAATACTGTTTTCTTCATTTATTCCCAGTCCTGAAGAACAAGCGACCTTAAAGGAAGAGTTGGCTGTGCATGTGGGGCTCAAGTGGGCACATTACATTCCTGCTGTGTCGTGGTTAAAGGATCATCCTACCTCTGTGTATCACTCATGAGAACATGGACAAAACAAGGATGAAAACAGATAAGGTGAGATTATACCGTGACAAATGATTCTAACATGTTCAATAATTTTGTCTGACTGTAATTGTATTGTAGGACATACAAAATATATAGATCGATCGATTAACAAAATTGCTTCACGTTCCGAAAATATATATTATTTTCTTCGATGTTTGCGTGAAGGCAATTCATGAGAGGTTAGATGGATGCACAACGGTTGGAAAATGAATAATTATATGTTTTTCAAACACTTGCATCCTGAACAATACTGACAGTGTCAAACGGTAAAAAAGCGGAACCATTAGGAAACTAATTATATGTATTCTTCCGAATTTTTGAATAGAACAAATTAATTTCTAGCCAGAGATTTCCATGTTAGCAAAATTTTTTCCAGGTAAACCTTGGAGTTCTACACAAGAATGAACAATATGAAAAGGATATGATTGACGTTGCTTCTTTCTTGCACAAGTATGTTCCTGGGCATGACGAGGCCTCCTCAAGCAAGCCAGTGAAGATTTTAAGTGGAGGAGACTACCTAACCTTTGAAAGGCACAAGGAAGCCCAGTCTGCCATGCAAGACGCAAGGACTCCTTCTGCAAGACTGGAAGGTCTTATTCCCGAAGCTGGAGGACTTTCACACACAAATGGAGTGGATGCAAGTGAGAATAAATTGGAAATGTAATAACAGTAATAATCAGAGTGAATGAATTGGGAATGAGTGCATGAATTTATATATGCACTCAATCTGTCAATCTACGGTACCATGGTGATCATTATACATGCTTGCCATTCTGGATACAGTACTGCATAACTGTACCTACTGTATTAGTGCATATACAACACCAACACAATGATAAAGTAAGGATTCCCACTTCTGTACAATTACTCATACCTAAAAACATTTTAATAGTATTTTTTTGCTGCAGGTAATATGGAATCACCTGTACAACACCGGATCAGCAAGAGATGCTGGAGCATTGTATGCTATGCGCAATGCAATTGATGCAAGAAATGTGTCCAATGATCCACACAACCGTTATTATGCTGCCAGTGAGTTTCTTGACAAGGTAACTGATGCTTACTTGATCAATGGAGCACTTGAGCATTTTGGCATGACTGCTGTAGATGGCGAGTGCATAAGAAACATACATACTGGCGTGGCATTAGACGAAGATGAGAAGAATAAATTTGCAATCAAAGTGATAACTGACTTCCTTGATGAGCATGTTATTTACAGTATTCCAGAGTTACCAGATACCGCTTGGCTGTGTCCAGATTTGAAGTGTGGTGTATGCGGCAAAGCGTATAAGCGTCCAAGTTACCTAAAGAAACACGAAGAAATGCATGACATCTATGAGTCAGTGAGGCAGTTACCGAAAGAAAAGACGCAAGGCGAGGAAGACAAGGTAAGAAATTATACTCATAATCTTCTGGTAATGCTACTCCTTCACCTAAATCATAATGATGCAATCAAACTTGCCGATGGTCCTTGTGTAATCAGAATTTACAAGTACTTTTGCTTATATTTCAAAGTGTCCAATTGTCCCAAGTATGCGTTTGCCATGCTTCAACTCCAAGCCCAAGTGAACTGCCTCTTAAGTCGTAGGCTTGCCCACTCTCTGATCAGGAATCGCTTTGTCAACCATCAAGGCAAAGTCGATACCAATCATCCTATGGACTTGGAAATTGAACATGACAATAAATCCTTTAAGAGTGACTGCCATAGCTACCGTGGTGTGATCACAGAAAAGACAACCAATCGTCTTGGCCGAAGCACCGTACCTTCAGATGCGGTTTTACATAATTTTGACGATATTTCCAATGTAAAAAAGCCATCTGGAAAGCACACTTTCACGTCCACAGAACAAGATGTGTTAACACTTGTGGACCACTTGATTCAAGCTAAGGTATTCAGTAATACACCTGGACGAGCACATTCTGCGTTTGACGACATTCCCAACAACCTGTTGGGTTCAATTGATTGGGAAAACCTAAAGACATGGATTGGGCAGTTTCGGCAAAAAACACTGCTACAAAATCTAACATTTTCATATAGTGGGACTCTGCAACTGTGTTCAACTGACTACATCTGCCTTTGTCAAAATGAATCCAACAACAAAAACATCAGCTCATTTCTCATACTGTATTTGTAATGTGCAACACTACAGTTAACTCATGACATGCAATATTGAAGAAATTTAATATTTAAAAATGTAAAAATTCTCTTAGTAGAGTGTAATAAGAAATGAAAACAAAGAAATAAAGTAGGGTGCATGGGGGCACATTGTGGTTTAATTAACCCATTAACCACCAGGGGCCGGTTGTATAAAAAAGTGATTATCGTTAACTATACAGGGTGTATCAAAAAAAACTGAACAGGTTTAAAATTGCTCTCAATTTCGCAAAACAGCTACTTGTATCTGTTTTTTTTATATAAATTTTGTGAACCAGGGGGGTGTGTCTTTTCCAACAAACTAAAAATGGCTCGCGCACAAAATTTAAAAGCTGCACTCATATTTTGAGATGACAGATGGAAAATTTGTCGGGATTTTAATTACTGTACAAAATTTCAGACAATTTGGTTTAGTTTAAGTCCGTTAACTATTCACGCAAAATTACAATTTTCCCGAAAAATCAGCTATTTGCATGCTTAATTAATACATTTGCCTAATTTGCATATGTCAGCAATATACAAATTAGGTAAAGGCATTAATTAAGCATGCGAAAGGCTGACTTTTTAGAACAAAATGAATAGTTAAAGGGCTTAAACTAAACCAAATTGTCTGAAATTTTGTACAGTAATTAATAACCCGACAAATTTTCAATCTATTAACTCAAAATATGATTACAGCTTTTAAATTTTGTGCGCGAGCCATTTTTAGTTTGTTGCAAAAGACACACCCCCCTGGTTCACAAAATTTGAGATCGAGAAATTTGTTTCAATATTTTACATTATAAGTACCCAAAGAAGCTATATATATAAAAAACCCAGATACAAATAGGTGTTTTGCGAAATTGAAAGCAATTTCAAATCTGTTCAGTTTTTTTTTGATACACCCTGTAGTATATAGCCCTAACGGGTGATATTTTATTTATACAGCAACCGACACTGCAAATTTGAAGAAGTTGACTGATTCTGTCACCAATAGTGGTATATTCTATTTCTATCACCATTTTAGGTGACAAAATAACACTTTTAGAGTCATTCAAACTCCTCGGACATTTACAGTGCTAATTTGAACCCCCCACATAGCATTTATAATAGCCTGGTAGTGAAAGAGAGCTACCAGTGATCACAGATTGCGAGTTATTCATAGACCATTTGCAAACATGCTCAGTTGTCAAAACCTTTATTCAATATTTAATAAACAAGTATAATATATTAAAATCTGGTTTACATTTGGTCGCAGCCTGTGGCGTGCAGGCTAATTTGGTCGTAAGATATATTTTTGCAATCAATGACGATTGATTTGCATATTGCACGCAAAAGATAAGATTGACCGCGCTGAGTCAATGCCGAGATCTCGCCAGCCCGGCTCATATGAACAGCCCCTTATACTATTATTTATCGTTGTTATACATGTGATGTACACAATCCTGATAAAATATGGCGATACCGATAAAATATGGGTGGTTCCTAATAAACGCATCACTTTGCGGAAATATTGACTTGATATGGATCGATATGTGCCGTAGCGTAATTCACGTGCGCTTTCACGCATATGGAAATATATTGCACTAAATAACCTTCATTCCAAGAAACAGCCCGGCAATTTAGTATATTTCTCAACAAGCGCCGATTGCTTGTCCAGCCCCGCCTATAGCGCGTTGCCTCCTGACAACGTTCGAACAATATAAGGGCGAGCAGTATAAAGGTATATATAAATACAATATTCTTCTCGACGAATTCTACAAAGCGATCCGATGTTGTTTTAGAGAATCGACCGCTACATAACTTAGTTACATGTAGGGATATTTGTTTCTGGCGTGTGTTATTCTGCGGAATGAATATTAATCACAGCTACAGTCGGCGTTTATAATATCTATATATAGTCTAATAAAACGGCTAGATAAAATTAACGCGACTTTAGTACTTTACTATTTTTATATAAGGCCGTGTAGGTTCGTAAAATAAGGTGGTGCTACTTACAACAGACAGAATTTCTTCCTATTTACGTCGTAAGAAAGTTTGTAAAATCTACTATTGTTATTGAATTGGCAAAAGTGATCCGTGATGTTTTAATATTTTGATATTTTGATGGATAACTGTATGGTGTTAAAATGGTTTTAAATAC